CTGAAGGTCATTGCCGCACTAGCACCCAGCGGGATACACACCTTGGTTCTCGGCGGCAGGAACGAGCAGCATGCATGGTACGCGCAGATGTGGCAGGCCTGGGTACCCGTCACAATGGACCCGCTTCTGAAGAACGTCAAGACGCTAGTGTTTCACGAGCCAACGAACGACGGGCTGCACTTCATCCTCCGTCGGCGGCCCACAGGCGATGGACCAGCGCTCTCAGAGACCGTCCGCAGCATCGAGATACAGCCACCGCAGATGGATTCCGATGGCGCGCCCCCCAACTCTTGGTACGAGCTCTGGTGGGACGAGGGCACTGTCCCAGGGGACGCTGCGGGAGATGAGGACAAGGATTTGCTACTGGCGGTTAGCTCTCTCCACGTCCACCTCGTCGCCGGAATCCGCGGCGTGATGACCGGCCTCCATTTCCCTTGTCTCGACGCGCTCACACTCGAGTTGACGCTCATGTATGGAGATGACTGGGAGTTTGTGGACCGTCTGTTGACCGAGTGCGCTGACAAGCTTCGCCGACTTCGTGTCATGGCTCGTGAGGAAGCAGGTATGCTGAGACGACCTTTCCTGTACTACAACGTCTGACAGAAAATAGCCTTCGACGATGTCCTCGACATACGCAAGGACCTAACTCAGCTCATTCGCGTTGAGGTCGACTGGCGCGCCCTCACAGCACTCGCTGGCTTGGAACACGTTACCTCCCTCGGAATGGTTGAGGTGATTGTCAGGACGTACGACTCCGACGTAGCCGTCGCGAGCGAGTATGACGAGGCCAGGCGCACGCTGACGACAGGCCATTGGAAGAGGGTCGCTGTCGTGGACAAGCCTTTCTTGAAGCTCCCAGGTATGGTACCCGAATTGTTGCGCGGCAGAAGGTCAAGCTCATCGGCGTCTGTCAGGCCAGGAGAGCATGCGCGAAGACCATCATCAGAACTTGAAGCGGAGGTTGAACTGGTCGCAAATCGAGTTCGAGTAGACTGTGGATTGGGTTTATAGACGCATTTCTTGGAATTTTGTTTCTGTGTACAATACGTCCTAGCTTTCTTGACAACGAGCCCGACGTTCAGCAGATGCACTGCCTCCTGAGCGATAGAACATGCCGCGGAATGCCACAACGGCAATACGGATTTGTGTATGCGTGCACTCGGGTACTTGATCTGCGCGACCACGATGGCTCCGGCTGATTATCGAGATCCTGATGATGAGCTCTCTGCCCGCATCCGCCCAAGAACTATACCGCGCCCGCAGCTACCTACAGGCAACCTCTGGCACTGCCCAGTACCGCGTTGTCAACGACTTATCACACTCGAGGGACGTCGGCAACAGGCGGCTGCAGAATTCCAAGACGAGTTCTTCAGCACCGCGGCGCGGCCCGAGCTTGAGGGGGTGTTTCTAATCTACGTGAAGACGCACTACAGGTTGCGTCGCGCTAGCGTGAATAGCAACCGTTAAGAAAATAAGAAAAGGGACCCTTGCCTGAGCCTTGGCAGTAGAGATGGGAGTCGGGCGATGTTGAAGATCTTCGTCAGACTGTTTCTGCAGATCAGCAAGAAAATCCGAGATTGCCACGGGCCTGCCACTACTGTACTGTATCTACATGTCCCTGGTGAGTACGATTAGGTGGTCAAGAAGCTCGTTCATATGCTCCGCCTGCTTCAAAGTCACGTCCAGCAATTCCCCGCCATTCTCGGGCAAAGGTCGATGTCCGGTAACGAAATGGTACGCGCCACCGTGCGAGTACGGGCAGCATGGACCGGCATGGAACTCGCACGACGGGTTCGGATTCGACGCCGGCTTCTTGCAGCGAGGGCACTCGTTCTTGCCGCAATCCTTGCAGATGGGTTGGTTGCAAGGCTGTGCCCGGCCGTTGGCAAGTTTGCCGCACGCGCAACGCAGGGTGTTGTCGCGGGCGCGGATCTACGGCTCGTTAGCGTTCAGCCCTATGAGCGGCGTGTAACATACAATCTCTTCAAGGCCTGGCTTGAGGAGGGCGCTCAGAACCCGGGCGGTGCGAAGGGCCGTCGCGATGTTCTATGCATCATCAGTATGGTGAGAAGGAAAGGCGATAGTGCTTACCTCAGGAGGTGAAGACATGTCGATGTGGTGAGGATGGATAGCGACGAAGAACCGCGTACCTCTTATATGCGACGGTGCCCTCCCTAAGCGCCCATTATCGTCGCATGATCTGCAAGCGACACTGCGAGAGTGCAAGGCGCGAGCACTTCAGTACAGGGAGTGTATCATACCAATCTCTCGCGGGCGCTTACCTTGCCAATGTATTCCGAAGCGCACCGGCTCCAGATCAGCCTCGCATGATTCTCAGGAGGTTTGGTGTCCGTGGGAAGCGCATTGGAAGGTCGCAGCTGGAAAAAGTCAAGGAGGAAGCATATAGGACAAGTGAAGGAAGACTGAGGGCGTCCATGAGTGCCAGAGACGGCCTGGCGCATTTTCAGTAAGTCCTTTACTATGAGTACATACGAGTGTTGATGAAGTGCCCGCTGCCCAACGCGTCTGTTTGCTTTCGTGAATCACATCCTCCGTGCATCGCTGCTGTCGGTCGCAGTTACGGCGGCTGTCCTTCTTCTCAGCGGCAAGCGCCTGCTGACCTTGTGGTCCCAGGAGTAGGCGCGCTTCCCGCGCGTCAACCGGGGTCTTCGGAACCCTGAGTCATTCAGCCCCGAGTGAACGCTAGCTTGCCTGCGCGCGCGTCTTGTGGCCGCTATCGAGGCAAGCCTGATAAGCCCTTTTTACTCACCTGGTCTTGTGAGCTCTCGCAGTCTCCTTTCAAGGCGACCGTTGCAACATCATGAAAAAGTCCAAGGTGAGTTGTGATCGAGCGCACCATATGATGCGGTACGCAGCAGCGTTGCCTGCGAATCTGATTCCTGGCATGGCGACATTTTGCGTTCTGTTCCAGACATCATGCTGCTCCTCTGAGGATCCATAAGCACGCCCGAAGCGTTCACTGAGATTGGCATACCGTGAGGACCTCTGCTGAACGCCCATTGCACCCGCGCTGTGGCGGTTAGCTTGAGGGTACAGTGATTTGTCTTAGCTGAAATTTCAAAATGCGGGGGTGGATGGACGAACTTCACGCAACACTAAGCTGGGAAGCATGGCTCCAACTGACACGAGCAACAGGCGAACGGTGCGCTGAGTCCGTCGTCCCGCGACGGGACGTTTCGCGCCTAAAAAGGCAATCCGTCAGCGAACTCCTGTCAGCGACCATGACGGCGCCCGATGCTTTCAGCTGTGTTTTCAGGTAAACCCGATTGGAGTCTGTGTGTGTCTGCTCAATTCTGTCCAAGGGTCGATCCTACTGAGGACACCGCCTCGGGCGCAACCGGCGGGCGGCCCGTTGCCCTTGATTCTGCCGCACGCTCCCGGCGCCAAAGGAAGAAGGCTGGATACCAGGAAAAGGAAAGGGATGCAGCTCGCCGCCGCAGGTAACCTCTGCCTGCCCTGCGAAGTCGCTGCGTTAATGTTTATCTGATCAGAGAACGCGAGAAGGCCCAAAAGGCAGACTTGCTGAGAGAAGTGGATCGCTTGAGGCGGGCGCAGAGGGCGGGTATGTGGGCCTCTTCAATGATGGAAACACGGCTGACTACCTCAGCTCTGGCAGGCCCTGAGACTCTGCGCGTGATGCGCGAAGTTCGAGACGGCATCAGCGAGACGCAGTTGCGTGAGCTGAGGAACAAGAAACGTGACTTCGAGAAGACGTACGGCGAGTTCGAGCCGCACTTCTTTCAGACGATCCTGGAGGAGCAGAAGTTGGGTCCCCAATCGACCTTCGTTGACCTGGGCTGTGGTATTGGCAATCTGCTTGTGCAGGCGGCCATCCAGAGCGGGTGCAGCGCCTTCGGCATCGAGCTGCGAGACGAGCTCATGGGCACGGCTGAAAGCCTCAAAGATAGGGCCCTGGCCGTCTGTGAACTGCACGGCATCAGCATGGGAAGCGTCACCATGGCATGGGGAGACATGGTCAAGACTCCGGCGGTCAAGGAGTGGATGAAAAAGGCCGACCTCGTTGTTGTGAATAACCTGAAGTTCTCAGCGACGTGTGAGGCTCCTGTCCACCTGCTCATTTGCAACACATGTCTGACTGTCGTAGTGAACCTGCAGATCTTGGACTCATTCCTTCCGCTCATGAAGCATGGTGCATGCGTCATAGCTACTGACCTGTTCATCAGCGGCAAGCAGACGCGACACGGGCAGTACAAGGTTGTGAAAGCGGGCTTTTTGATATACGTCCGTCCATTCTCCATGCTGAAGTATACTCTAACGGTCATCTCTCATGCAGGAGTACCCTGATCAGAGGACGCTGGAGGTGACAGAGCGGAAATACCCCGAGCGGTCCATGTCGTGGACTAACTCTTCAGCCCCATACTACATCCATCGCGTGCATGACCCAGCAATTGCCCGACGTCGGCAGGAACAACTGGGGAAGGTCTATACCGGGTCCGACCTTGGGAGCCACGCAGCATAGTCGACACTGGCCTACAGCATGAGGCAATATATTTTGTTCCTTCTGAGGAGGCTAAGCACGCCCTTCATTAAAGCCCCACACCGACGCACCTGACATACGCGGCAATAGCAGCAGCAGGTACGTTTGCATGCAGATTTGTGGCTCCATGTCGTCGGGCAGTGGTGAGGCTGGCTTGTGCACTTACAGCCCGGACGCTTTCCGTCGAGGGTGCGCTTTTCGTCCGCCTTCCTTACTTGGCGAACATTTCCCACGCCACTGCAGCCGTCCTTGGTTTCCTTACCTCGGTTATCAACTTCCAGACATATCCAGCCCACAGCTCGTCAATGTGAACCCCTTATCCTAGCCTGGGGTTTTCCTCCCAATAACCAAAAGCTTCGGTTTATCATAAGCACGTCACAGGACGATGTGACCGTGACAAATCGGCGACCGGCTGATGTGAAAACACGGTCGCCTTCTCCTGACATTCCAGACCGCCATCTGACCTGACATCGTCGCAGACATGGACTCCCGCACGTCTCTCACCACCTCCGAGAAAATATGGTTGCAGCGCAATGTGCCTGCTGATCAGCGGCGCAATAGGGAGGCTAAGTCAGCCGTAGCTCACTTGCTCCCCCTCCGCGATGAGGAGATACGGGTTTCCAGCAAGCAGCTTGAGAAGGTAAGCCCCAAGTGTATCATTGTAGCTGGATGTACTGCGCTGACACAGATATCAGGCCGTAAAGGCATACTGGAGGTCGATGGAGGATCCCGACGGCTCAACCGCGAATCGGCACGGGGCTATCAATGGTTCAACCAAGAAGCCCTCGCATGGTAATGGCCGCTCGTCAGGTGGCGTGGACGAAGAACAGGAACCTGAAGAAGACGGCGGCGATGGTCCAGATGGAACGAAGCAGAGGGGGGAGCGGAAGGGGAAGACGAAGGGAAAGGGGAAGGCGAAGGCGAAGGCGAAGACGAAGGGGAAGGGGAAAGGGAAAGGGAAGGGGAAGGTGGATGAGGGTGGGAACATGGAGGAGGAGCAGGAGGAGCAGGAGGAGGGGGAGATGGCGAGAGCTAAGGCGAAGGCGAAGGCGAAGGCGAAGGGGAAGGCGAAGGGGAAGGAAAAGGCGAAGGAGAAGGAGAAGGAAGAAGCTGACTCCGGCGGCCAAGGAGAAGACGACAGGGATAAGACGGAGGCGGTCGAGGACGAGGACGATGAGGACGACGAGGTACTGCACGGGCCGGCTAAGCCCTCGTACCACACGCATGTCACGTGGTGCGCCGTCTCCCGCCACAGTCGCCCGGAGGTGTGGGACAGGGTCCGCCGACGGCTCGCTAGGGAGACGCCTGGTACGCCATTTCAGATAGAACAAAAAGTCAACAAGGAGATCCGCCACGAATTCACGGAGGACGAGGTGGAAGCCTTCAAAGCTAGAGCCCGAGCAATCAACATCGGCCAACCGGCCAAGCAAGACCGAACATGGTGTGCCCTACGTGCTGCTGTTCTTTCCAACTAATCTGATCGCCTCTCAGGTTTCGCAAGAGTCACTGCCGACAGACCATTGCGCGCTTCTTGAATTGGGCAATGGAAGTTGGTGGTGTGGCTGTTGTCGGGGTTGCTGCTTGGGTCGACGAAGAAAGTGGAGAGCTGGAAATGGTCAAGTCAGTGGCAGCCTGTTTTTCATACATCTTTAGCGCCTGATCAGTGCACAGTGTCGGACCCAACGTCAAGAACGGCCCGTTGTTCGCGGAGAAGGAGAAAAATTGGCTGGCACGCGGCCAGTTGTCAGACCGCGTCAAGGGCTGGGCTGCCGAGATCTTCGGACTAGAGGACGGTGACGATGGCATCGCCGCAATGGGCGACCAGATAGAAGGCGGTTCTTTGCCGAGTTGGGCTCAGGTCAAACGTCGTCCTCGTCACTACCCGAGATTGCTGGCGGACCCTCCTGACAGCGCGAACACGAAATTACTGCGAAATGTGATCAGGCAGTATATCGCCCACGCCATGAGTAAGGTTCGCCGCTGGCAAAGGTTTCTTAGCTCATCTGTCTGATAGGCTTTCACAATCAATCCAAGGCCACTCGTTGGAGCCACCTACGGGCAGAGTTGGATCCCAGCGCGTTTCCGGAGCCTGCTCCCGAGAGAGGCTCTGACCCCTACGCCATGGACCCATCCAGCATGAAGAAGGAGCCTATGCTCAAGTTCATTCGCCATTGGCTCCAGGCGCAGGAGGGTGGCAGCATGCCCGTTAAGCCCTTCGTCAGGAAAGCATCTGGTGCGACTGCCCGCACGTCTGGATCGAGAACGCAAGCCCGCCGGAAGACGAAGGCCCCGTCCGATGGATCCGGGTCGTCGTCTGAGGAGGAGCCAGCGGAGGAGACAAGCGACGAGGAGGAGGAGGAGGAGGACGAGGACGAGGACGAGGAGGAAGGACCTATGATAGGACAACGGTACGCACCCATGCACCCCTTCGCCTCGCTGGTTTTGACTGCTTTAGGACGAGAAGGTCGAACACGACTGCCAAGTGAGTTCTGTTGCCGCCCGACATATCGTGTGACTCACAGGACATACAGGTCTCGTAGCGCGGGTCCCAATAGGCATCAGCCCCAGAGTACTGCGTCGCTCCTACTTGAGAACGACATGTCCATCGGGCAGCGCGCCAAAGCACTCATCAAGCGCGCGAAAGAGACTTCGAACCGTGTCGCGGCTTTAGTGGCCGTCTACATGGTTCAAGTCTGCTTGGTGAGCAGCAACAGCGACATCTGGTATTTGTGTTACTCATGGCTGCTTGCTTTATATTGCGCAGGAGCATCCGAATGATGACGGAATCCCAGAAACCTCTCTAGACTTCCGTTTCCAGGACATCTTTTTAATCACCAACCTGGGCGACGTCTTGCAGGTATCCGTGTTCACCAGCGGGAAAGCGCAGCAATACGTGGACTGGGTTGTGAAGGCTAAGCCTCACCTTCTGGGCACACGCCCCCAAACATGGGCTCGGAAGGTTATTGTGATGGCCATCGCTACGGGCTTGCTTCACCTCGCTATCGACAGCCAAGGCTATGCAGAGGTGGAGCCTGATGATGAGCACAGTCCTTATTATCCCGGCGTGGGTTGGGAGATCAAGGACCACGAAAAGCTGATAGCCGGCATTCTCAGGGCGCTGCACACTGGTCCGGACAAGGACAGCCTCAGCCCTTGCCCGAAGACCACCGCCGCCCTAGCAAAAGACCGACCAGGCGTGCGAATCGAAGACTACGTTGACTCTCATGCCAGCGCGCGCGAGCACGCTGCCGTGGCGGCCATGCGTCAACGCGCAGGCGTGCACGCCGGCGGTGCCAGCGGTTCTACTCTGTGAGTCGCGCGCTTCGGGGTGTGGGGAGCGGACTGAACTGGAAATCTGCAGAGCTAGCAAGCGCAAGGCCGCCACGGACAGTCAGCCGTCGAAAGCCTCCAAACGGCCACGCAACGTCCAGGATGTGGATGATTCGTAAGTGTTCATGGGAGGGCATAGATAATCCCGGCTGAAAGAGTTGCAGGCCGGACGTGCAGATGGAAGAGCAGGAGGTTTCCATCCCTCCGCGAAAGTTGAGGTACGCCCCCATGTATGCTTCATGTCTCAAACATGCTCTGAGTAAGGAACAGGTCCGAAACCAAGAGGGACGACTCCGTTGCACAGCAGGGGGTCAGAACATTGTACGCAGCCGCAGCCCCATAACCGTTCAAGCTCACGTCTAAGCACATTCACAGGCGGAAACGCACACCCACTGCCAAGGCCGCCGCGATGCAGCTGAAGCGCTCCAAGAAGTCGAAAGGCCCTTGAGCGCGTTTGCTGTCTAGGCCTGCCCTCTTTTGTACAGTGGTCTAGGTCTTCTAGTACTTTGATTGGGATGTAGCTCGTGCCGATGCAGATATATGTACATTTGCCCATGTCATCTACGGAGGGACCGCTAAGACAGAGGCAGTGCAATGGCTGACTGGCTACTGGGGCTATACCCCCATTTAGGAAGTACAAGCTGGGAATGTGCCTGGCGATCACAGATTCGTGAGAATTGATGGTATGACTTGTGCCCGATTTGGCATAATCACGCAAGCCATTCACCCATCACCCTCTTCATCCGTCCCCCGTCGCTCGTCCTCGCAGCATATACAATAATGTCCAGAAGCCGAAAGGGTGGGGGTTTAACTCCCATAGCGCAGGGCAGCGTCGTACGTAGCATGACAACCAGGCGGACGCCGGGGGGAAAGGAAGTTTATATGGAGAGGGAAGATTTCGTGCCCAGCCCACGTCTCCGCAGCCCCCAGAAGGGTCAGCGGCGGCCCTTGAGCGGGAGTGGTACGACTACACCCCGCAAACGGGGCCATATCGGGAGTCCCTCGCCTTCGCCTCGAAAGAGACGGACGGCGGTAAAGGTGCGTGACGTATACTGTGCAGAGATGTCCGTTTAACGAGACTGCAGACTTCAAACGATCACATGCGCGCGTGGTTACATAGACGGGCAGCCTACGAGGACGTCCTCATGCGTCGATTCGAGCCCAGCAAGCACAAGTGTCAATGCGGCGCAGCTACTGCTTCATACCTCTGCGAGACCTGCTTGGGGCGTAAGAGGCAATGCAGAGGCTGCATCCTTCGCGAGCACGCGTCTATGCCCTTCCATCACATCCGAAAGCATGACGGTCGCTCTTCAACGGCTACCGACCTTGGCGCGTTAGGCCAAGTTATCTGGCTGGGCCATGGAGGAGAGCCGTGCCCGGCCACCCTCGCGCACGTCCGGCTTCCTATGGACGAGCGTTGGTGTGATGAGGGGGAAGAGGAGGAGGACGGCGATCTCAGTGACCTCCTCAGGGACTGTGACCTGCGACAGGGACATCGTTTAATTATCGGTGATGTTGAGGGTATCTGGTGTCGTACGGTATACTGGTGTACGTGCCCCACCGCGGAGGATAAGGATATCCAGCTGCTGCACACCGGATTGTACCCGGGTACCGAGGATGAGCCAGCCACTGCGTTCACGTTGACGATGCTGGATGACTTCCTCCTATCGCAGTGCGAGGGTCGGATGTCTGCCCAAGGATATGTCCAGAAGTTGCGGAGGATGGCCAACCCAGCGTTCCCTTATCGAGTTTCGGTGAGTGGGGAATATACGCGATAAGTGACCTTACTAACGAGGCGTAGGATGTCTATAGACCATTCCTGCGCGCCATGCGTCAGTATACGAACATGATCACGAGAGCTAAAGCAGGTGTCGCTCACAAGATTCGGAGAGATCAAGTCCGCATAGCTAGACCGCCGGGAGATCTGGCTTGGCGCTGCCCAGCATGCCCCCAGCCGGGATATAACTTGCCTCCAGAAGACCAGAGAGACGCAGACCATCCGTACGTACCTTGTCGCTCCGACGAGGAAAACAGTGGACTCAACATCCAGTCAGAGAGCTTTACATGCCCATGTTCACGCACGACGGTTGCTTCAAGTTGAACAACCAGCGTACCCGCAATCCCGACGCTGACGTGCGCCTCAGCGATGGCGAGTGCATGCTCGTCGGGAGCAGGCAATACCAGACGCACCTCAAAGTGACCAAGGAGCCCGCCAATGTACGTGCTCTGACCACCGCCCCACCTGTCATCCACGTGACAATTCACTGCAGAGGAAATCCTGTCAGAATCACCGGGCGGTTGCCAGCAGTCGATCGAGAGATCGCAACTTAGCTGCCAGTGGAGTGGGCACATACGCCTGTGCCCGTCATGGTCTGTTCATCCCGCACACCACCGTTGATTACCAGAAAGGCGAAGCGTGCGTACTACAGTCGGAAAGTCGCCAGCATCCCCTGATGGTATGACTGCGTAGGCAAATGAACACAGACTACTCAACCTCATGCCTCATAGAAGGGTTGTCTGCAGAAACGCACAAGATCCTCATCGCCTACGACATCATGTGTGAGTATATCGTCAACCTCAAGACGCGCCTAACCGAAGGACCCTACCTTACCAACCGTGCGATCGACATTGAGGCCGCTGTGGGCAAGTTCCATCTCGGCGCACACATCCGAGAGTGCTTCGCCAAATTCTCCCCCAACTTCATCAAGGGAGCCGGCCAGCTGGACGGCGAGATCCTGGAAACGCTCTGGGCAACCCTAGAGAAGCTGGCCTCCAATACAAGGAGCATGTCACCCGCTCATAGGCAGGAAGTTCTTGATCTGCTCATGAACGACATGAACTGGAAGAAGATCATTCAACTAGGTGGGCGACAAACGGCCGCAGTGAATGATTGACTCACAGGATGGTCGCCTCACGCAGCCGACGTCCTTAAGAAGAAGGCGATGAAGGCCTCCGTCGAGTGCAAGCACGCCCGCGCCGCGTATGAGGAGCTCAAGGACACACTATCCGATCAGCAGACAGCTCGGTGGCTACAAGAGGAGCGCGAGTCCTTGGAGGAGGGCCGAGAGGGAAA